ACTTAATTTGTCTGTACGAGTATACATAGGTAACTTTTATAAAAAAATCATTTTTCATAAATTATGATGTATTCGTCAGGTTTCAGAAATTTTAAGAATTGTTTATGCTTAATTAACTCGTTTATAGTGGAATACGTCTTCCATAATCATTTATCCACAAGGATAAATCTCATAAAACAAATTAATTCTCCATAAATTGACAATAAAAATTCACCTTTTTCAGGCTCTAATATAATGAATACTCTTTATCCCATTCTACTATCATTTCTGCCAATTTCCAGTATCATAAATATAGTGAATACTCCTGCCCCATATACTTCCATTATTTCTAACATATTCAATCATGATCATCATTATTATCATCAATGGTGTAACAAGTATTCGTGAGTCTTTGTGTCTCTGTGCCACTTTTCTTATTTTATCCAGATCCTCTTTGACCGCATCTTTCCACCTTCTTCTAGGACGTAATACAAACCTTCTTTTATCTGGCTTTCCCAAAACACATAGTTTATAATGTGATTATTGTTACTGTGTATCACATGTCCTACCTATCTTAAACAAAGAGGTTAGATCTTTGTAAATGGGTATGTTTAAAAACCCTTAAAAGGGGTACATCAATTACACGAACGTTTTCAGAATAATAATTCCATCATCAGGTTTAAAATGCACATTAACATGCCTGAGCCACCAAAATATAAGGGTAAAAACCCTTTAAATTACATATAGTTACAAAAGTTTGTACATAATGTTGTTAATCACATTTGATGTTTAATATTAAATTAAATTTGACTTCAGGTAACATACACTCAGCTGAACACGCTGAAGCCGTTTGAAGTTACCAGCTGAAGTCCGTTTGAAGAGGTTTACTCTCCGGCCACTGGAACTCACCTTAAGACATGGGTGTATGTTACCTGAAGTAAAATATATTAAAATATTAAACATCAATAATTTTTAACATTATGTACAATCTTTTGAAACTATATGTATTTTAAAGGGTTTTTACCCTGATATTTTGGTGGCTCAGGCATGTTAATTTGCATTTTAAACCTGATGATGGAATTATTATTCTGAAAACGTTGTTTGTGTAATTAATGTACCCCTTTTAAGGGTTATTAAATATACCCATTTACAAAGATCTAACCTCTTTTTTGTGATACGTGGTATACAGCCAGCTGCAGGAATTATTTTCCTTGTGGATTTTCTACCTATCTTAGTCTATTGGCCTTTATATATCTCACCACATTTTCATGTCCGAAAAGCGACTTTAACTCGTTGTGTCTAAGCCTCCATTCGTTTGTCACGCTATCTCTATAAGGGCCATTATATTACTTGAAGAATTTTACGTTCTCAAATCAAAAATTTATTTGCTTCTTTTTGCGTGAACGTTCATGTTTCGCTAGACCACCTCGGGTGTGACACCCGAGAGACCGGATTACAAAAAAATGAATCGTTAATTTGTACTTTACTCACTTTACAATCAAAATACAACTCGCTATTATTTTGTGAACACACTCTTATAAGTACTTATTAAACGCAGCAAAGCATATGTTAAACGACTTTGTACAACGCGTTGGTGTGCCCACAACGTTGCAGTTTAAGTATTAGCAGAACATTTTGATAGTACTCACCTTTCTTTGTTATCTTTTCTTTTGGAATGATGTAATTAGACAAATACATGTTTGTCAGATTGAATTGCAAAGTAAAGGCATAATCATTGATCAATCAGCGACCAAAATAGGGGAACCTCGTTTTTGTATTGAAGAAAAACGTGGTCATACTATAGATGAAGCAATATATGTTGCCCCGAAGAAATGTTAGGACTACGACATTCCCACCGAAAGCCGAATTCTACGTTAAAAACGAATGGATGGTGAGTTAGCTGCCGATACAGGACTCACACTTCAAGCCGAACTTCAAAAGGATATGTTGGAATGTTAAGACCGATTCAGTGTTGATCTCGAAATCAGATCAGAGTCCATTCATGATGTGGCTTCATGGTTCGAGCTTGTGCAGACACACACTGTGCTTTCCGCGAACAGTGAAAATTAGCTTCAACATTTTGTGAGTTTTACCATGAAGAGGTATCAGAAGCAATCCTCCTGATAGAAATACCAGGGCTCAAAAGACATTTATAAGCGGCCAATATTACAACCTCAAAATGGTAAGCTGTAGACATTTTAAAATTCATTGTGGAATGGGCCTTCATGGAATCCCTCTCAAACTGAATGGTCACATTAAAATTGGTTATGACCATTTGTGTATCGGTTGCTTTATGTGAGAGAAGTTAATAAATAGTTAGAAAAAAAAACACATTTTTGTTTTGTGATAGGACACCACCTAGAAAGCTAAAAATGTTTAAAGGCAAAAGGGGTTTTTAAATATGTTCTTTTGAGCGCCTAATCCCAAATAAAAAAAGTAGTTTCACTATAAATTCATGACGTTTCCATCAGGAAAAGAAATTTGAAGGATTTTTAAGCTTAATTAACTCGATTTAAATGACTGATTCTTCTATTATCATTTCCTGTATTCTTCTTCTTCTTTATAAGCAATTCTGCTTGTTCATTAGCGGATTATTATCTCTATGGAAGTTTGTCACTCCATCTTTTGGATAATTTTATGTATAACAGGATAAATTTCCATTTCCATTTTTAATGGATTTCTAGGGTTATAATGATTTTAGTCTTTATTATTATCTTTATATAAGCCAATAACAATTATTACTGCTTCCCCTCATTTCTCCACAAGATTTCTCTGTTCGCATAAACAAAGGACATAGAGAGTATCAAATAAAACACATTTTACGGGAGAACAGTTTATTTCAATGAGATCTTCTACATATAGGCTGCTCTTTGAAAGAGGTAACATTAAGACAATCCTCATATTTTTTCCTAATATTAATTATAAGATATCTCAAAAAATAAAAAAAATCAAAAATATGGCAAGAACGAAGAATGCAGCGCTGCATTCTTATCAAAAATTTCAGTTATACACTATTATTAATACACCAGAAGAAACAATAAGAGTAAAATATGAACTATTTCAGATAATAACTCCTTGTATTTTACTTATTTTAAGAATTATTATTTGTAAATTCGTTTTAAATCTATTTTCTATTCAGTTATTCTACAAATTACAAATGTGGGACAAGATATATCATAAATAGTGATCATCCGAATGTATACAGTTAAAAAATAACAGCAGCCATTTTGTAAGGGGCGGAGCTACAATTTGTACACAACAGATGGCATGGTAGTGAAGTACTAGCCCTCATTTTTTAGAAGACGCGGCTAAGAGTTATATATGACACAAATGATACGTGCTGGAACTAATCTCATCATAGACATTTGGTAAATTACGGGACTAGAATGTATAAGGATGACAGAAAGTACATTACATATAATATGAAAGTGACACCAATCAATGATATGGAAATGACATTACATTACAGATGTCATTTTGTACCGGACTTTAAAATGTATGACAGAAATTAAGTGACAGATGACATGGAAATGACCTCATACCATCTATTTGGTGGGGAGCAATTTATACTTGACCAACTGACTGACAATTTGTAAGAGGAACTGCAGTTTAGAAGTAGAACAATGGTCATAGCCATCATTTTGTGACGGTCAGAACTAAGAATGCTAACACAATACAAAATGTTAAAATGTGTGAGTGTTGCACTGCCTACGTTTACTAATTATTCGTTAAGTTAGCTGGGTCTTCTTTTGTGGAAAACTTTTCTTTTTTCTGTAAGAAACGTGTGTAATATGTATGTTTTCACATATTGCAAACATTTTCAATATCGTGTAAATTGGACGAATCAAGACATGATAAATATAATTTAGACCCAAGCAATAGCTGCATCTTCTTTATATGCTGTTTGCAGGAATCTTCGTTTCTAAATTATTGCAAAGATTCAAAGTATCTTAATATTAAAGTAAATTCTGTTTATGTCGTATCTGCCAATATATTCTTAAACAAATTACGACACGCGTTGAAAAATAAATCAGTAATCTTGTAGTAGAAAAATAAATGATATTAAGAAACAGAGAGTTAATGATAGCAAGAGAATTTAAAATATTAAAAAAATTCATAAATATTCAACCTAGTTATTACAAGTCTAAGTTCAAAATATACAGTTGCCTAATTATTAAAAACCTATTTCATTCAAACATTTTACTCTTATTTCCCCTCTATTACAACTAGGACTTGACAATTTCCGAACACTCATTATTCACTATCCAAAGAAAACTACAAAATAGTTTCCACTTACAAAAATATCCTCTAACTAAAAGCTCACAGATGCTTCTTTGAACATAACTATGGTAATTATGATAGTTTCTGGACTAAAGGAAGTAATCATTTAGAACTGCGAAAATAAATAATCTCGCTTTCTTAGTTTCCTAGTTCTTCGCCAGTGTTCTTTCCTAGTTTCCTAATAATGTGACGAAATCGTTACTTTTGACGATTTCTGCACAATGTTCCCTGTCTGCTGCTGAGTATCAAAATTGTAAAAACAATTTTTGTTTAATTATTTATATTCCACCGAGACACTGTTATGGTAAAGACTAAACAATAGGATCACTAACGAATAACTACAACATCTGAAACATACAGAGCTGGCTGAGAAAAGACTATAGAATAAAAATGGATATATTTGGAAATAATGAATTGATCTTGTGTCCCAACCAAGAAAAAAAAACAACAGATGTGTTGTTTAGTCTGCTCAATTTACGAGTTAAATATTCATGATCCAGCCAAATTCGGTAGCTCTCTTCAGTAACTTTTAAAATTCTGAAAATTTGGAGAAAAATATTTATTGTGTGTCTTTTTGATATTACTATACTTATAGTTGGCATAATAATTCTTCGTACATTTGGTCAATAACATCAACATTGATGTTTTAATATTCGACGGCGGTCCGATGGTACCACTATCCCAAGATAAATACACTATAGAGTAGTACGTTCTGGTAGTCAGTTAATATCAGAATTTAAACTGAATCGGACTCATAGTTTTGTTCTAACCACGTGTGGAAGCGAACGTGTCTGCAGATTTTAGACAAATGGAAAAAGAGCAATATTGGTCGGTGATTCGATTCTTGTTTCGAAGAAAACAACTACCTGGAGGATAACGGTGCTCCGAAAATCTTTGACGGCTACCACAAAGGAAAACGTGGTAAAAATATACAATATCGTATTCGCAGTATCGACAGTAGGCACCTCAAAAAACTGCGTCAATCACATCCTGTATGAAATTTTAGGCGTAATAAAGCTGTCGACGCGATGGATGTAGCATTTGCTCACTCCGAATAACCGTGAGATCACTTCAGAGCAATGTTTGACGCTGCTTAAGCGTAATCCGAAGGAGTTTCTGTGTCGTTTCATGATCAACAACGAACCATGGATCCACTGGTGCATACAAGGAAAAGTCGAAACAGTGGACTTCGCCGGAGAACGTGCTTCGAAGAAGGCGAAGACTGTCCTATTGGTCAGAAAGGTTACCATTTTCTGGGATTCACAAGGTGTGATCTACATCGACTACCCTGGTAGGGTAGGGCTGTATTGTTTCGATTTATTGGGTCCATTCAAGGCCCAACTGCATAAAAAGTAGCCCATTTGGCGAGGAAAAAATGCTCTTCCACTATGACTATGCACGAACTGCTGTCCCATCCACCGTTTTCTGCAAATTTGGTCCCATTCCACTTATTTTTGTTGCCAAAGTTTAAAAAATCACTCTCCGCGCAGAAATTTGAGTCTAACGAGGTCATCGCTGCACCAAGGCCTACTTAGCGGACCCCACGAAAACGTATTGTAACCTTACATACGTCACATATTTATTATTTTTCTTCAAATAGTTATTTTATTGCAATTACTTTTAATTTCATTCATTTGTTAATTTTGTGTTTTATTTTACTATTTTATTCTGAAAATAGTTGGCGCTCAAGTCTTCTATCAACAAAATATTCTATTTAATCTCTATTCTTCTATCTCAATTTCCATTGATTTCAGTTCTATTCCTATTTATTCTTTGTATATCCCCCGTATTCAAACCCCGTAGTTAGCCTATCGATAGACATATATAAATGTCTATGACCTTAACTAGCGACACAGATTATTTGTCTATTGGCAATTGTCACTTGTCATTGTCAGCAGTTGTCAGTTTCGCTTTAATAGAAGTGGGAATCTTTTTTTATTATTTCATCTACCTATTTAAACTGATTTTTTAGTTAAGAAATTCATTTATATTGTTTAAATCTCTCTGGGTTTTTTGGCTTTATGTCAATTTTTCTTCTCCTATTTGGGGGGGATTTTCCAAAGCATGTAGCTGCTATGGAGAACTCCACACCTACCTGAAAGTACTTCAGCTAACATTCTAACAAGTATCTGAAGCCAGCAACCACATTAACTGCATTCAATTGCATGAAGTCAACAATATATGCAACAATACTTGCCATAAGTATTATTTTCACATTTTATAGAGATTTTATAGAGATGTTTGTATAATAAATTTGATTAGTTAATATCCTCTTTTATTTGTCCCTGTCAAACTCATTTTTCAGATTTTCATTAGTTCAAACGAACCTACACCTAAGAGATTGAGCTAGAGACGAAGCATAACCAATTGGCTACCAACGTTAGTTGAAGTTTTATTGTTACATTATTTTTCCGACAGTATTTAAGAGGAGACTATGTTGGTTTTGGTTTTTCATTATGCTTAGTACTTATCGAACTGGCTCGTAAATTATGCAAAAAATGCTCGTTCGTATAGAAAAGCATTTGTTATATATTGTACTTAGTTAACAACAAAAAGTTACATTATTTTATATCCAGAAACTATCATTTTTGGGACCTGATATATCTAACACTATACCTAACCAAGAAATTTGTTAACATACTTTTGACACTACGGGCTTACAAAACCATTTGATTTTAAATACTTGTAACCATAATTTATTGATCATCTATGTTAATCATATTATGATCTAAAATAACAAGCAGCAAGCGTAGTAATGTGAGCCAATCCAGTCTTGAAGAGTGAAATCGGATCTATCACGATCTAGAAATCAAGTGTTTCACTGCTGAAAGCGAGATCAAAGAATATATTAAAACTAAAAAGTTTCCCATTTGACGCCAAAAGAAATTAAACCAACTATACAGTCAAATAATTGTATGAAGTCACGAAAAGGAAGTATTTATTGTAATTTGTATTAAAGCTGCTATTAGAATCATAATTTAGCTCCGCCATACGTTTCTGACGCTGTTTTCAAGCCATTTACCTACCATTCTTTTATAGTGCTGTCCAAAGCATGTTAACAAATTTCCAACAAAATTATAAAAAAGAACTCTTACATGATATATTGCACAAAAACTTACTTTGTTGTGTGCATAAAGACAAAGGTACAATTAATCTTAAAATTACTTTAATTCACATTTTTTACTTCACTTGCAAGACTTTAGACTAGAACGTTCTGCGTTGAAATATTTACAACATAAATAAATATTTGTCATATCAGCTGAGAGAATAAACAAAACAATATCGTTTCCGTATCACAGAGAAGAAGAGTTTGGGTAGCAACTATTCGAGTATATTGAAGTGTTGATAGAGGCTTTGAAAATTCTATTTGAGTAAGGATTATTGGTTAATTGCAGTAAATGACATATTACAAAAATTGTATTGTTAGTTTCCACAATTGGATATAAAAGCGCCGCGTCTTAACATATTCAAATTCCCATTTACGGCCATTTAAGTTTATTTACGCTAAAAGTTTAATATGTTTAACCTAAACTAACCAATAATTTTCTTATAAAAGCCTCTAGAAATTTAGAAAAATTGTAAGGAATGAATTAAAAGCAGATTCACTGCTTCTTCCCAAAGATACTGTCGTTAATCCTAAAATAATATTTGTATTTTGTTTCGGTACTTATTGTAGAATTAGTGTGCTGCAGCAGTCGAAAGCTTTTTACTAAATAACGAGTAGCTATTGGCTAGATGTGGCTTATGTCGGACAAATTACTGAAAATAAAAAAAACAAAAATATTAATAAATATGTATATGCTAACCAAAAAACAAATGTTACAGATCATATACTCATATACATATATAAAACAAACTGATTAAGTTAGCAGTTTCCAATGTCAACAAGATCTTCCAATAGGCGAGGCAATGAACCAGTAAAAAGCCAAAAACCTACCAAATTGTTGCAGTAGGATGGATCTCAATGAAACTTATTACATTCGTTTCGTGAAATTTTGTGAAAAAAAAATGATGATGTCGAATTAAAAATTCCATTATTGAACAAGGAAAATGCATTTTCCAAAGTGCATTTTGAATTGATGAAAAATGATAAATTTGTAATTCGGAAATGATTGACGAAAATGAGTTCAATATTACTCCTCGCGGAGTTTTTGGGATAACTGAATACGAAATTTGATACAAAATTGGTGCAAATTTGTTATTAGTGAATTTTTGGAATCGCTAATCCTGAATCATTGCAGTGATTGTCTTTGATACCTGTGGTGTTCAGTATGGGCCTCGTTTCCTGGAGTTTGTGGGAATGTAATACCAAATCAGTGCAAACTCGGTACTTGGGTTTTTTTTTGGTGCGAGGAAGGTCTTGTCTCCTGTAATGTTATGGAAATTCGATACAAAATCAGTGCAAATGCAAACTTGTAATATTGTTGACATTTTGGATCAATGATCACGAATATCATAACGGTGATAGTCTCCTATGCACAAACTCCAAGCCCTCCACTGAGTACAATGGGCCTTGGACACCATCGCCGACATAATAATTGTGTTCAGATTTTGTATAGAATTTATACAAAACTCCAGAAGCCGAGGCCGTCGAGTACCCTAGATCACTCGTACACTATCGACGATATAATATTAGTGTCCAGCGACCCCAAAAACCACCGACTAACGAGTTTGCACTGATTTTGTATCGAATTTGCACAACACTCCAGGAGTATATTCCGTGCTAAGCACCAGGTACCTCGCTCATCATCGCCGGCAATATATTGGTGTTAAGCGACCTCAAAAACCATTGACTAACGAGTTTGTACTGATTTTCTATCGAATTTCCAAAAAACTCCAGGAGAAGAGGCCCATCAGGCGCATCAGGTGCCTCGGAGAACATCGCCGTCATGATAGTCAGAGGACGAAAAGCTCTAACTTGTGATTAATGCCAAGGATCGTTTTATATTTCAATTAGCAGCCTGGAAACAGGTATACAATCGTGATTTGTGTTTCGTCTCGAATGAACAACGTCCAACCCCTATCAGTTTCACGAGAGGTCCTTTTTGACTTAAAATCGCCCAGTTATAGTTGGGGCAGATACACTAATATTTTAAATTACTTCCATTCCATTACCAAAATAGAATCTCAAAGAGCCTATTGGAGCAAATTTTCCAAAGAACTAGATAAATGCTTAGGATGGATACCTCCACTAGCAAATACTATAAAAGATTCGCTACTGCTGTAATAAGCACTACTAAGACATGCATACCAAGAGGCTACCGCAAGGAATATATTCCTGGATGAACACAGAACAGTTAAGAGATGGAAACCAGTGATCAAGAAGAAGCAGACGAGCTACTTTACAGCCTAGATACAGCGAGACAGGAAAAGGATCGAAACTGTTGAGAGCTTAAGCGGAAAAACTTAGACATTGCTACGAAAACTGGAAAGCGCTGTCCCCACCCGAAGACACCCATAAATGTTAATGCAAACGCAGTCGCTTCACACATAGTAACATCATCCAGAGAGCCAAAACAAAAAGCTCACACGATTAATATCTAAAGAGATCTTAAATCCCTTATAGCTAGAGCCACGGAAACATAATACTCCAACCCCTTCACGTTCCAAGATATTTCAAATGCTCCCAAGGATCTTAAACTAGTAAAAACTCCAGGTTTCGATGTGGCAAGTATTCAAAAGTATGGTTGTCTCGATTCTTTACAGACATTATAAAAACCGGTAATGTCATACAAGAATTCAAGCATTAAAAAATAATTGCCATCCTAAGACAAGGTAAACCACATAATATTCCCAAGAGCTACAGTACAATAGCTCTGCTTTCTGCAATATGCAAGCTACTAGAATTGCTAATCTCCAACAGAATCAGCATGCGACTCTTCAAAATGATTCCTATTGAACAAACTGGGTGTACACTCAAAATGTATGAATAATTTTTTCATGCCATACTCGAATGAATGCCGTATTTATGTTACACATATATATATATATATATATATATATATATATATATATATATATATATATATATATATATATATATATATATATATATATATATATATATATATATATATATATATATATATCGTTTATTATTAATGTTTTTAAAGCTTCACAATAGACTCATTATTCATTTGTAAATGGCATCAAAATTCCGAAAAACACTACAATAAAAATGTTTTAATTTAACTTTGTTGGAGTATGCAAATATTAAAAACAATCGATATGCAAAACCAAAGAAATAATTAATAGTTGCGACAATTACTTACACAACATTTGCATAAACCAATTTTGAAACTTAACGTACCTTTTAATATATAATCTGTCAATAGAGTGGGCACCGTCGGACTATCTTCATTAATAGCTTTGAGAACTAAAAATATAAAAAAAATATTAAAACATGAAGAATTTAATCGCACTTATTCTTAATTAAATTTATTTTAAAAATAGCCGTATACAGTGATTAATAGCAATGAGAGAAAATAAGCAAAACATAATTTCATAATATTGATAATTTCAAAGGAAACATATACAGTGTGAAAACCACTTATGAAATAAAATTGTTTGTGTTGTTATTTTAGATAATAATAAAAAACGTTGAGATATCTTAATTTTTAAATTGAAATGTGCGCTTAAAGCTCTTTAACAACAACCTGATCTCAACGAAGTATCTCACACTATGTAAGGTGTATTATGAATAATACAAGATGAACTTTTGAAATTAAGTATAATTTTCTTCAAGATAATTAATTTAGAGAATACCCGAGGTAATTGATTGGATTACATTAAAATAAATGCTCAAAATGTTCTCCACCTTGTTGTTGGCAATAACACAGTCTCCTATAAAACTCGTCCCGAACTTTGTTTAAAGTTTGAGGTGAAATATTCCGCATTTCTTTAGTTATCCTTTCTTTGAAGTCTTCAATGGTAGTTGGTTGTGTTGCATATACCATATACTTTGTTCTTGAGATAACCCCACAGAAAAAAATCCAAAGGCGTAAGATCATCATTAAAATATCAATTCGGTGGGTCTCAGTTAAATATTTCTGTTAAATGTTTATTTCTGCAAGAAATTAGCTTTTAATTAGGAATTTATATTTTAATGTAAAATGTCAACAACTGATTGATAACAATCCGCATTATTTACCGATTTAGTTTAATTAGCAGAATATCTAGACAGTTTTTACCTATTTATGACAAAAAAATGTTAACACGGTTACTAAACAGAAATTTTACCCAATATACTGACACTTAGAGTAGAAGTGTATTGTCTGTATTTAGCTAATTTAAAATAATACCTATTCTAACAAAAGCCTATTCTAACAAAAGCCCAAATTGATGATAAAGATCGGCGTATAATACAAAATTTATACTGGAACCAATCAGCCACAATAAGAACGAATTTTGGAGGTGAACCAACGGAAATGATCCAGATTCTACGAGGCGTTAGACAAGGTTGTATACTTTCACCTATATTATTTAATCTATATTCAGAGGAAATATTTAGTGAAGCCTTGGAAAAATGCGAACATGGAATACTTCTAAATGGAGAACGCCTAAACAACATCCGTTATGCAGACGACACCGTTATTTTTGCAGACAGTTTGAACAGTTTACAGCAACTAATAAACAAAGAAAATGAAGTAAGTGAAAGATTTGGACTTCAAGTAAATATAACAAAAACTAAATTTATGATCACCAGCAAAAATAAAGTTAGAGACGCTCAACTACTTATCAATAATAGACCAGTGGACCGAGTAAAACAGTATAACTATCTTGGAACAACAGTAAATGAACAATGGGATCACTCACAGGAAATAAAATGTAGAATAGAGAAGGCTAGGAGTGCATTCAATAACATGGCCAAACTCTTTAAAAGCCACAATCTTAATCTGGAGATAAAAGTAAGGCTCCTACGATGTTATATCTTCTCAATATTGTATTACGGAGTTGAATCCTGGACACTAACTGAAGCAATGGAGAAAAAACTTGAAGCCTTCGAGATGTGACTATACAGGCGAATTCTAAGAATATCATGGACAGACAAGATAACCAACGAGACCGTATTACGAAGAGTGGGCAAAGAAAGAGAGGTGATGTATACCATTAAAAGGAGAAAGTTGGAATATCTCGGACATATAATGAGAAACAGCACTAAATACAGATTACTGAAGGTAATCCTACAGGGTAAAGTATTCGGAAAGCGAGGAATTGGGAGAAGGAGAATATCATGGTTGAAGAACCTGAGGAAATGGTTCTCCACAACAACAACGAATCTATTTAAAGCATCAGTTAATAAAATAATTATAGCCAGAATGATTGCCAATATTCGGAACGAATAGGCACTGAAAGAAGAAGAAAATAATACCATAGCACGTGATAAATTATTAAGTTCAAAATTTCACCTTGTATTATTCATACATTATGTATTGATGTCCCTACATGATATAGTTCGTTGCAATCAGGTTGTTAAGAATCTTTTAAAAACATAAAAATATACAGGGTGTTTCATTAAAAATAAGGATTATGGACTATGTCAGACTTGCGTGGATCACTCTGTACATTTAAATTTATGATTAAAAAGCGCACATTTAAATTTAAAACTTAACGTTTCCAGAGTTTTTTATTATTTTCTATAATAAGGACACAAACAATTTTATTCCATAAGTGGTTTCCACACTGTATAAGTAAGTAGTAAGTTATTTTAAAGATGATGAACCACATAGATAATTAAATAAGTGGGTTTTAAGTAAATCTATAAAAACAAAGTATTTTTGTAGTCACCGTCACAAGTAAGATGTCATTTTTGTAGATAACATTTAGATATTTGCAAAGGGCGTTAAAAGTGTTTCAATCTTTTTCGAGATTTAGCATCGCAGTGACAAATTTTTTTAATTCATTCTCCATTGAGAGATTAAGAAGACCGGGGGTCTGGCATTTTTTGCCAGACCATCAATTTCCAGTTTAACTCATTGCAAGTCAAGTAAAAATTGCTGTCTTCGTTCGCACGCCAGAGATGAGAGTAAAAGTGAAGTTTTTTGTGATTTTATTGTTGAGAAACCTATTAAGGTTTCCTTAATATTTCCACCTGCTTGTTTATGGGAGTGGAGAAAAACAGTGTCCGTAATTCATCAATTTGTTCGCTGGAAAGCAGTTCTTCTTCTATTAAAAGAACCTATAAAGTCCATAGTCAACACATGTATAGGTAAAGAAAGAAATTCACAGTAAGATTTTATTCAATCACTCAATCCGACTCGAAGGACGAATGGACAATTCAAATGTAATTATCATTTCGAATTGTTTCTAATGCAATGTGTCCGATTCTTCTCGATCGACGATGATAAAATAAAATGTTGAAGTCATGAAGTAAAATATAGTTTTATTGATAGCTACTGAATTATTACACTATAATTGTTGTTGAGGTAAAAATTTATAATAAACTGCTCCCCAAACTAGTCCCAAAGCTATATTTGTAATCTCACTAAAATGCTACAATTCATCAAATACGTGTGTTGCCCTCTGCATACAACAAAAACCTTTTGCGTTTTGAAAGCTGTATTTTCTAAATACGTATTAGGCACTCTGTAGTTTGCAGGAAGTTGAACAAACTGTAATTAAGCTACTAATCAATATGTTTCACAATTATACATGATGAAACTATAAAAATTCAGGAAATTAAGATTAATGTGAGATTAATACAAGTTAATAGTCTAAATTGTGATTGAACAGTAACTTTAAAACAAATCAAAGGTATAAGTGTTTCAAGACAAGCCAAAGTAGTCTGCGCACTCATCGTTAGTAACCAAAAGGTCGCAAGTTTTTTTGTTGGAAAAATGGACCTGCTGCTAGGGTTTCGTTAGGAACTATTCATCTGTCAATACTTAATGTTATACAACCATTTGTTTGCCAGAAAGTGATTGAGATTTGGTTGTCATCCTACATACAGTCCTGACTTGGAACCGTATTATTTCTGTGCGTTCCCAAAAATAAAAAAAAAAAAAACAACGCAGTAAACGGTTTGAGACGCCAAATGAGGTGGCCGAAGCATACAAAAATCTCATTTGTGAGCTACCTATTTCGGACTGGCATAAATGCTTCGAAGATTAGTTTGTGCGAATGCAAAAGTGTATTGATCTTAAAAGAGAGCAGTAAAAGCTAATTTTCCCAAAAATATATAAATAATAGTTTCGTAAACTGCGCTTTTTTAGTAGACAATTATAATTATTTAAAATAAAACTACATTAAGACTGCCTGTACTATTCATATGATCGTACAAACCGTTGAACCGAAACTTACCAATCTTTGAAAGTTCTAGAAATATTTTCAGGTAACCCTAGCAGTGGATTACAAATATAAACCTATCATTGAGAACGATCCCAAACTTGTTAAAACGCATTACAGTGTTTCGAACGAGTTCGACCTATACGAGTAATACCGAGCTTTTGTAAAGCTCGGTATTACTCAATTCATCACTTCCGTTCGGTGAAGTCATGCCTTCTCATTCACAAGAACTATTTGGGTTAAACTGCCGAACAAATAGGTCAACAATCGGATGAACTACTAATGTGACATCTGTGAACCCAAACAAAGTCAACTCCAGGCAGTAACATATCCTCCTCCAAATTCAACACTTGGAGCCATATTTTGGTCGAGATCTCTTTCTCCAAACTTCCTCCAATCAGAATAGAGTTATCTGAATGATACAAGGCAAATCTAGACTCATTCATGAACAAACGAATGAGCACAACTATGCTGCACTTCAGTGCTGATTATGAGCAACTAAAACTCTACGTCTAACACAGCTGTCCCTTGTTATCTATATATGTCAAACATGTTTTCTGGCTCCAAGCATACTTTCGTGCAATTTTCTAGGAATTGTAAACAAACTTACGTGAATGTCAGTATGTGTCCAAAGTTTAAAAGATAATAATGCACAATTTCTTCTATCGCCGCTCCTCATCTATCTATATCCTATCTCCTTACTATAGAGTGAGGAGCAGTGATATAAGGAGCCTCTGTAAAATACAAGATGTTGTTGTATATTGTATAATGGTCTTGAGTCAGAAAAAAAGTATGGAGGGCATACGTTAATAGAATGGGTGATAATAGACTTGCAAAGATTAGAAAGAAAGAGACACCGAACATCAGCAACTGGTATGAAAGTTGGACATCGTGATCCCAACTTAGGCTACAACTTTAAAAAACAATGCATTGTCTAAAAACAAAAAGAATCATTTCCTCTAGCTGTCGTAATAACAAAATATTCGTGTGTTCTGGAAATAGCTCGTTCTCGACCAACTCCGTGTAGTGTATTACCTTTACCAGCTTCCTGGAAACCATTCTAAGCTAGACTAATCACCCCCAGACAAACCATAAAGATTTAAGTCACTTCCTGTTGAGTCTGGTTACCATGTTGCAAAAGGGCCATTATGACGGTCAAGTTTTCGGAAGAAAGCCTTCATAGTGGAACACAACACTAGATAATATCAGAGACGCCAGATCATATCACAGATGTAATGTCGCTAGTTTAGAAATAAAATGATATACAATTTATACTTCGATAGTAGTAAAAACAACGTTTAATATTTTATCCAAATAAAACCTCATTTTTGCTTATCGCTGCAACAACGAAAGTATTGGTCACTAAAGAAAGATTAACTTTAACCAATACCAGAAAATAACTCATCAATATTTTAGCAGAAAATAATAAATAAAATAAATAGCGATAATTAGATGCGCATGTACCGATTACATTTTTAGTTGTCAGTAGTTAAACATTTAAAAATAGTTTGATGTTATTTAAGAAATGATCTATAACGCTTACTTTTTATTAGAACTTGAAGACTCTGATTGTCCGGTGGTCCATTTCCTATGTGGTATGGAATAACGGTGGTCAAATACTAAAAAAGGAATGTTATATCACTATATATAAAAAAATACTCGAAAATAAAATAATACAGTTAGATTACGGCCTTCTTGCAACCGTATAGGAATATCTTTGCTCATACATTGTTAATTCAATGACTTTTATCGTTTTCTTTTATATCTTTAAGACTTTTTCAATATACTATTTTGTTGTTTTTCTGGCTCATATATTATTTCTTCATCTTGTAACCCTCTGTGTCCATAGTGTTTATTTTACAAGACAGAAATATTTCTTACAGCTTTTTATGATTTTTTTACCCCCAGTTATTTATTGTTAATTCTTCACCGTATTAGTTAACAGTCTTTTATTTGTTACCTTCCTATTCTTCTAAACTTTATCTCTTATAAAATGCTTTCAAGTTATTTTAGACTTTTTATTCAAGATGTTCTTTCATACTTTCTTCGCATTGATTTGTGAAGTTCATTGCCTCTTCATTTGTCGTTGCTAATTAAATATTTCTATTCGATGGTAACAATACGTAATCTTCGATATCCGGATGATACTTTTATACTGATAAAGATTTACAGGTGATGCTCAATAGAATAAATATTACAGGCAAATAATTTGGACTTAAGATCAACAAAAAGAGCACCAAATTGATGATGATTAGTAAGAAGAACATTTGAAATATCTACCTGCATATTGGAAATATTAGAAAAGGATAACATCGGGGAAAACTGGGAAAAACTCAACAATGATATAATTAACGTAACAACAGAATCACTTGGAGAGAGGAAAGTAACGAACACTAACATATCAAAAAAGAAAACCCCATGGTTTAGAGAGAAAGTGAAGATAAAATGTGACGAAAAGAAGAAAGTCTTTTTACCATACAGAACAAAGCAAACACAACAGGCAAAAAATAATAGAAGAAAACAGAATTCCTCCAGCATCGAGATCTAGCATCCTAATGCCTCTCTTCAAAAAGGAGACAAATTGGACCCAGAATTACAGAGGAATTAATTTATTAAAAACAACACTAAAATGAACAACCAAAGCGATAACAAATAAACTGAATGAAATGATAGCAGTAACAGAAGTACAAAAAGGTTTTGGGTCAGGAAGATATGCACCGACGCTATATTTATATTAATGCAAGTACAATAATACAACATGCGTATAACAATATGCGTACCTGTTTTGTGGATCATAAGAAGGTATTTGACCGTGTTATATTAAAGGATGCTATTCGCTTATTGTACGAAAGAGAGATACTTCTAGGAATAATCAAAACGATCGAAAATATCTATCAAAAAAACACAATAAAAGTAAAAGTAGAAAAAGAACTAACTGAGAATATTGAAGCTAAAAATGCTGAAAATGGAATAAGACAGGGAGATAATCTGAGTCATCTATTGTTCCACCTGATTATCGATGAAATAATAAAAAAAGTAAAAACTAAAAAAGATACCAAATGGGAGAAAAACAACAAATAATATAATAATGAATTAGAACAGAGAACAGAGAGAAAAGTCGTCAGAATTCACAAAACAGTCATCAGACCAATAATGAAATACGCGGCAGAAATACGATCTGACACAGAAAGGGCAAAGAATGTGTTATAAACAGCAGGGATGAAAACATACTATGGGATAGAGCTAGCAGTACAGTTGTACGACGTAGATGCAAGGTGGAGTACATCAAGGGCTAGGTAAGAAATCGAAGAGTAGAGTGGAACGATCATATAAGTCGAATTACTAAAGACACATTGAAAAAAAGGCAGAGTTATGTTTACATAAAAAAAGGAAAAGAAGATATTGGAAACGAACATATCGAGGGAGTTAACAGATTCAAATATCTAGGATCTATAGTAAATAATAAGTGGTAACCTTATGTCGATAGAGATTAACATCCCAATTGAAATACTGCAATGTAAACGTAAGCACCAAATGGTGCGTCACAACTATCACGTACTCTCCAAGCTGCTTTACTAAATAGAAAGATGGACGCTAGAAGCAACTATAAAAAAGTAGAAGCTTTGGAAATGTGACTGTATTGACGCATACCTAAAATATGTCAGACAGAGTGACCAATACCGAAGTATTGAGACGAATGGGTAGAGATGGAATTGTTAACAACAATGAGGAAAGCGTCATACCTAGAATATGTGTTTCGGAACGATAAATACATCGCACTATCCGTTTTAGAAGGTTGGATAAAAAACAAAAAATCCTGGCTGAGAAACCTACGTGAATGGTTCCTAATACCACAAGCTGCAAACATAATATATGTGGCACAAAACAGAAAAGCATATAATGTATGATGGCCGCCAACCTTAGAAGTCAGCGCACAAAGAAAGAAATCCACAGGGTATTTTTTTTCTTTTTAATTCGTTCTTACATTTTATATACAGAACTCTTCTTTTTTTGTTTCTGGTTGGATTCACTTCATTTTTTACGCTATTCATTCTTTCCAATCCCAATTTCTAGTCAAAATTTTACTATATTTATTTAGTTTGTGGAAATATTTTATTAAAATATTCATACTTTTTTCATGTCTTTTAGTTTTTATTATCAGTATTTTTAATCAGGTAAATAAAAAAATATAACGGATTAGATATATATTAATATTTTTAAAAATCTATAGACTTATATTTACCTTAGGATCCATCCCGTTTGGAGTTTTATTGGAAGAATTCTTCGCCGATCGTTTCTTTTCAACGTGGTACTGTCTCCGTCTATTTTGCACTGCAAGTAATAACGAAATGAACGTGTTTTTCAGCTCTTTCTCGTATTCCAATTCATCCCTGAGAGCCAACTCCGAGATCAACGTTTCTGAAAATTCTCTTATCAGCACTTCCAGTTCCAGGAATAGCTCGTTCAGTTGGGACAAGCTCAAGTCACGTAACTCTGCAAATATGAAATGGAAATATTTTATGTTTCATCTTACAATGCGGCAAAAACATGTTAAAATCTGATCGTAAAAGTTTTGTGCAAAGTGTAGGAAAACTGAAAAGAAACACACGAATAGGAATAATAAATATCTAATATTGTTGGTCTTTAAAGGTTTAAACTTAAATTAATTTAATTTGGTCTTTAAACGATAGTATTTAGTTGTTTCATATATACACTGCCTAGCATAACATTAGGACTCCGTAATTTGAATATACATATTTTAGAAATTAATATTCACTTTTAACGATTTTCTGATGTAACATAAGTTACTAATGATTTGCTTGAAAAAAATTGTTGTTGCTATTTTGATAAGCGTTTGAGATAAAAAGGACCCATTACACTAGTTCCTAAAAACTCAGCATAGTTTTTGTTTTTGTGGTTTTTGTTTGTGAAGTGTTATCACTCTCAGTGTATTGCAATGGACATAAGTTCTGTTGTGGCAACAAATATTGCGGTGGTGTTAGAAGCTGCCCCCGGTCAGTGCATCGGTACGAAGGGACCGGTGTGCTTACTCGAAGATCTGATTCAGGCCGAGGCAAAATTACAATAGCTAGAGATGACCGCTTTGTCGTTTCTAGTGCTTTCAGAATTCGAACAGTCACGGCTGTTTCCCTTCAAAATCATTTTCAAGAAGTACGAAATATAAATGTATATGTAAATATAAATGTAAGTGAATGGACAGTTAAAAGGCGACGGGTTTATCTTCTAGATGTAGAGTGACTGACCGCCGCTTTCCCGTGAACACCGAACTGTCAGATTGAATTTTGCACGAGAACACTTGGCTTGGACAATACAGAATTGGTGTCGTGTATTCTGATGAATCGAAATTCTGTCTTACAGGATAAGACAAACGTGTAAAAGTGAGGCGACGTCCAGGCGAGAGATATGCTCAAGAATGTGTTGCCGAACGACTTCCATTTGGTGGATGGTCAATTATGGCTTAGGTAGGCATATCGTTTGACCAAAGAATATAGACGCTTAAGCGTCTATACTCTTTGGTTTGACGCTCTCGCGGAGTTAGTCTTTATCGAGAATAGGACATTCACTGCGCATGTGCGCACAGGTACCTGACATAGGTTCTAGAAGACCATGTATTACCGTTTATGGTTATTCTTAGAGATGTAGCAATATTTATCTCGTCAAGATACTGAGTATCTTAACGAGATTCAAATCACACGATTTGTTTATCCTCCTCGTAATTCAGCTGTCAATCTCATAGAACATGTTTGAGATGAGATGAAGAGACGTTTACCGAGTCATAAGCTGACCCTCAGAAATTCAAGAGAGCTTCGCGACGTAATGGTGCAAGAATGGAACAATCTTCTGCAGATTGTAATCCAAATCATGCCTCGCCATTTTCAAGCTGTTAACATTGCCAGAGGAGCGAATACTCGCTACTGAAGTTCTTAAAATTTCTTTTGTTTCAACAAAAATCACATAAAATTAAATTTTTTTCTTTTCAATATTTAGAGAAAGAAGAAAGGGGAAGAAAAAGGAGATAGGAAGAAGGAGAGTGTCGTCATGGTTGAAAATTTTAAGGGACAGTTCAATACCACCTTCGGAGCAGCGGTAGAGAGAGTAAAGATAGTGATGATATTCATGGATCATTAAAAGTCTAAATATTAGCCTACCTGAACAATAGGAATTTGGGCATATTATGATCAGTCCTTTTTGTTCTAAAGCACAAACCAATTTTAAAAAAATGTTAGGCAGCATAATTTAGTTCTTAGAATATCGGTTATTTCGTGTTTTTGTTTTGTAATGTAGGGGCCACCAACGCCATTTTTCAGATTTACTTCTAAGATAAGAAGTTCTCACACTTGAGGGACTGCTAGACAAGGCATAACAATTGGCTCCCAAAAATAGTTGTCAGTTTTATTGAAGTTTGTGAAAACATAGACCTTGAAGCTTACACATTGGCTCCCAACTTCGGAGGTAGTTATATTGTTACCCATTGGCACCTACCTTTCTGATGGGTCGTTCAATGGTTACAAATTACATTGGAATTATAGGGTCAGTTTTGTACTGTTTAAGTATATTACCATACCTAAAATATTATCTAACTAATTGTCTGAGATCTGAATGATTAAGTTAATCACCTTATCGAATTAATACTACATGTGAAGAATCCATATTTTTATAGAGTGTTCTCGATATTGTATGGTATCGTGTGTGATCACAAGTTTGATGTATTTCTGCATGGTTTATTCCTATTAGCGTGATATGTGTCTGTCCAATCGAGACAAGTGTGATCTGATTTTAAACGGGTATAACAATTCCCGTTGTCATCCTGTGCATTTTGCTCCCTTTCGTCCATTGAAACATCTCATAGGTCAAGCCATACCTTCCAACTTAGATTAAGATAGTTGGCATGAGTAACAAATTGCTTTCAGTTAGTTGCGGGATATATTACGTCGTGATGCATAGATCTTGCCGCTCCATATTACAATCTAATATTGACGATATTTCTCAACACACGGTATTTTCTATGTCAACAAAATTTTTAAGTTGATAAAAAATACTTTTTTATATAAATTATCTTATATTACCGATACCAAAATAAAAACATGCACGCCAATTGTTTTAATTAAGCTCCCTAAGCCATAATAACATAAATTAATTGGGTTAATGCTGGAAATTATTACGCGAAGTTGTCAGTCCTCAGTTGCGAAAAAAAATCAATATTTCCCATAAATTAACCCCTTTGACATTTCGAGCATATTTCGGAAAGCAAATGCAAACTACTTGAATAGTCAATATTAATAACTTACGGCAAACAGGGATGTATTCTCATGATTTAAGAAAACGATATCGACATATCTTATATTTTATTAAAGGTGTTTAATATGAATTTATTAAGCGATAAATATTAGAAAACTCTATTGAATATAATAGACCATTTCAGTGTTTCGCAGGCATAGGTATATTACGCAAAGACATTGATACAATTCAGCTGAAGAATGCTATCGCAAGTAAACGGTGAATTTCCAAAACCCACTAAGTATACAGTGTTATCAGATAAGATGATTTCAAGTGCATTATTATTTAATATTATTGTGGATGCGCTAATAACAGTAGCGCGCAAAAGAAAAGGTTGTGAAAAGAATGTTTTCTTGGTATCGGCTCTTGTCTCTACAGTATATGTCATGACCATTATGACATATTTAGTATATTCAGTTTTCTTGAATGTGAATCCCCGGAAATGTCCAAGAAAACCGGACGTTGTGTTAACAGATCAACGCAAAATCACAGTAAGACAAAAATAAGATGATAAGCAAGACAGTGACTAGTTAGCGGCAATAAAGCGTGGCAAACATAATGGGTATTGAAGTCTATAATGATAGTGCGTAATTTACATTAGACAGTTAATTTAGCTTGTTAATAACGGGATTAGCTCAGATAGATAAGTAAAGCTATAAGAGAGATGGAAAATATAAGAAAATGAACTTACCGGTCAAGTAGAACTGACTTTTTAGGGCGCTAATACACAAGTCAAGTACTATTTGAGATATTTTATTAGGGCTTAAATTTTCATTTAAGAAGGAGAAATTCCGATGATCATGCTAGATTAGCCCTAATTATGAGTTAGGTCGGAGAACCGTTTCGAGTCAAAGTTTTTTTCTCTTCTTAAAACGATCTACTGTTAGAGAAAACACAGCAGTGGCTATATGGAAGTGGCTTGGAAGTTAGGGTAAGCAAGTAGATACGCAAACAAGCGATTGAGTCGTTTCTGTGAAACATCGAGTTAGAATCTATGGAGAGGGCATCACGTGACTAAAAACGACCTAACTTCGGCCAAATTGGTATTATTGTTTTGAAACTTTTGACAGATCGTATATGTTTGGTTACATTTATTGTTTTTCGAATATTTTCAGTTTTATAAAGGTGGGTACACATATGCTCCGAATGCCGTTTCGAACCCCGTCGCGTTCTTAAGTGTGGACGGAGTCATGCAACCGCGTACCGTACCTCGACGCGTCAACAACGTACATCGAAGCGATCCATCGGTTGTCGGTAAAATACCTACGCATCAAAAGAAATTTGAGCGCGGCAATGTACACCGCGAATTCATGTTTGGACTAGCTTGCGAATCTTTTATCGAATCTCCAGTCATTCAAAATAGTCAGTCTATTATTTTGAAGGTTGACGGTATTTTTAAAGTTGAGTGCATCAAAATGGAATGGACCATCTCCTTTCACGAATATTTTTCGTTTTATTAACTAAATAATGCATAAGAATGTAGGCTGCTGCAGCAACATCCATCTTGCACATGCGAATTCAACTCAATTACTGCTGGAACGCTAAAATGTTTGGTACAAAGTACGGAGCGGTGTTCGGTTCGTTACTTATTTCAATGCCCCCTGTAACAACGTCGCGAACTTTTGTTGATCGCGTCGCTGTACGCGACGGGGTTCGAGACGGCATTCGGAGCATATGTGTACCCACCTTAATACTTTTATAGAAACTGTAATATATTGTGATAGTGCATAATAATGGTTTCTTGTTGTCAACGTAGTTGCAGTAGCAGAAGTAATGTTAATAAAAAATCTTCAGGAATATCGTTCCACAGGTTAGTATACAAATATGTAAACAAAGTAATGGCCCGTACTTCAGAGAATAAATTAATACTATTTAACTGTATTAATTTATCTTTATATATAATATATCGTGTTTTTAGTGTTTACCACAGGATAAATAAATCATAGTTTATTAAAAATGTATTGCACTTTTTTAGATTATGATTAAATCTTCTGAATAACTAGTCATATTTGTATAGTAGTTTTATTATTATTGAGTCTGGCCCTGATGTCACCGCCATATTGGTATTATCGTTAGCCACTCCTACCTATGCCGTTTTTAATACATACGTTAATATGCTCATAGCTTCTTCATAGATTCTAACTCGATGCTGTGAAACCAAGATTCTTATGTAATTATGAATTATGTGAATTTGT